TTTTTGTACCTGATTAAATAGTGTTTTCTGTTTTCCTTGTCCTTTGAGTATGGGGCATACTAGTCTGGAAGTTCTCTTGTCCAGCAAAGAGAGGAGTTGCCCTTCAAAACTTGTGACAGAGAAAAAGCTACTTAGACATCAAGTAGCTTGTTTTACTTTCATTTTCCTGGGAAAAAAAAAAGGAAATACTACATTTCCCAGATTCCCCTGGAGGTACACAGTGCTATGGGATTGATTTCTAGCCAACAGAATGTGACCGACGTCACAAGTGTCATTTCCAGGCTGAGGTAATTAAGAATGGGTATGCTTTCCCCACATATCCTCTTTCCTTTCCACCATCAAACTTGGAAGTCAAGTTCTAAATGACATAGCTACAAGAAGGGGTCAGCCTAAGTCCCTGAGTTATAAATTGGAAGAAAGATGCCACCTCACCCACATGGGGATCTTAAGTAAGTGAGAAGTAAACTAGTATTGGGTTATTCCACTGTTATTCAGAATTGTCTGAGACTGTAGTTAGTATTCATTTCCATGACTAATAAACAACTTTTAGAATGTTGAAATTTTCTAAAATAAGTAAGTGTGAGGCTTACATAATAAGTGCACCATAAATGGATGGAGATGAATATGCATCCAATTGAGCTCAAGGAAACCTAACTGGCCCAAAGGGGAACAAACTCCAGACTTTATATGTGGGTAAATGGGGACTTCTTGCAGCTACAAAGACGCAAAAGAGGAGAGGTGCACAGGGAGTACTGTTCTGTACCCTTGGACCTGCCAATCAAGGAGGGGGCCTTTATTTTTATTTATTTATTTATTTATTTATTTATTTATTTATTTATTTATTTATTAACAAGCTTTAGTTCACTTTATTTTCTTGTATAAAACTAGGTGGTGGCCACAGCTGGAGCCTGGGTCCTCTGCACGGAGACTCTGGTGTGGGTCTTCACAAGATGGTCAGTGAATTCCTGTTATGGAGACTTGGTGAACACTGTCTCCTTCCAGAGGTCAGGGGTGAGAGAGCTGTAGGTCTTGGAGATGGCATCAAAAGTAGCCTTAGCAAAGTTCCCCAGGGTGGCAGTGCAGCCTCTGGCCAAGGTGTGGCAGTCGTTGATACCCGCCATCATCTGTAGCTTCTTGGGCACAGGGGCTGAAACAATGCCAGTGCCTCGGGGGCGGGGATGAGACGCACCAGCACAGAGCCACAGCGGCCAGTCACCTTGCATGGGACAGTGTGGGGCTTGCCGATCTTGTTCCCCCAGTAGCCTCACCTCACGGGGACGATGGAAAGCTTGGCCAGGATGATGGCCCCACGGATGGCAGTGGTGACCTCCCTGGAGCACTTGACACCCAGGCCGACGTGTCCGTTGTAATCTCCGATGGCAACAAACGCCTTGAACCTGGTCCGATGGCCAGCACGGGTCTGCTTTTGCACAGGCATGATCAGAACCTCGTCCTTGAGGGATGCGCCCAGGAAGAAATCAATAATCTCAGATTCCTTGATAGGCAGAGAGAAGAGATAGATCTTCTCCAGGGACTTGATTTTCATGTCCTTTACCAGGTGGCCCAGCCTGGTGACGGGGATCCACTCCTTGTCCTCGGCCTTGCCTCAGCGAGCTCCGCGGCCTCGACCCCGGCCCCGACCACGGCCGCCACCGCGGTCCCGGACGCCGCTGCCGAAGCCTCCGCGGAAGCCGCCGCAGCCTCCCATTCCAGGGGGCCCCGAGCCCCCGCAGCACCAGCGTCATCCGCCATTTGGTGTTCTCTCGGAGAAGAAGCAAGGCGTGGGGGGGGTGGGGGGGTGGGGGGGGGGCGCTTTAGAAGGAAGAGCCAGAGTGCACTAACTCACGAAAAGGGACTTTCACTGCTGTGTGGGAGTGGGGCTGGGAAAAGAATAAGAATCCACAGCAGGAGGAAAAGGCAAGTAATCTGGACCACCACAGCTCAATTCAATACAGGTAAGAAGGCAAACTTCAGCAGGGCCTCCAGCGTGCAAAACCCAAGGGTGTACCCAGGCCTGGCAATGAGAAATTGGGATGACCATGGAGAGCGTATCAGTAATTTGGGGGCAGTGAGCAATAGCAGAAGAAGCTCCAGAAGCACCAGTCTTCCAAGGCAGAAGAGCAGGAATGTTGAGCCAGCTGGGGCAGGCTGAGGCTCTGGGAGGGCCAAGGCATGAAGGGAGGCTTGGAGGAGCTCCGGTTTAAGGTAAGCGTTGAGGACTGAGGAAGGGGCAGGGCTGCAGGCCCAATGATCCAAACAGTGCAAGAAGCAAGGAAATTGTGAGAATTTACTGTATCCTTCTCCTAACAGGACTGTTCTAGAAGACAGTTTACTGGTTCTGCATATAACCATATTCTGGAATCCATTAAAGCCAGAAGAGGAATCCAGATGCACACATTTTAACAGAATATGGCTGTCTTCTCACTCCTCCTTTCCACCTCCCTTTCCCTGGGAGAGCTTCAGGGAGTTGGCAAACATGAACAAGAAAATCATGCCACAGGAATAGGCAGGCTTTGCTGGTCCCCCTTCATGGGATGGGTAGATCCCATTGCTGGCTGCCTACCACATTGCTCATACCTACTATCTACACTCACTAGGGGAAAAAAATCTTCTTCATATGCCTCTCTCTTGTCATCATAAAGCCTGTTTTCCTTCTGTCACATTCTGTGCATCTGCTAAGGAAAGGGTCTGGATATTTGTTCTAGATCATTTGGCCTGTACCCCACAAAGGAGAAAGACAGGCCTAACTGTGCACCTGGGCTGACATGAAGATAAGACAGCAGGATGTGGCAGAGAAGGAGACCTATGTGCACCAGCCCTCCCAAAGTTCAGCCTTCCTCTTTTACCTCAAGCTAGCGGATGTTATGAATAAAGGGTAAGATTTTATTCACTCAAAAATATTTATTGAGTACAGTGGTGCAAAATACTGGAATAGCTCTTTTGGAAACTCTCATGTAGACATTGTTCCTGCACCCATGGGGCCAACTTATGGTATGATGGAGGAGATAAGAAATAGTTTCCAGTAAGTTTAATGTAAGAAGAATGTGTTATGTGCCCAAAAGATGAAGAAACAAAATGCTGTGAGGGTTAATTCAGAAGAAGATGAGATTACTCTCAGTTGGATTCAGGATCATAAAGTATGGGTGTGTGCAGCATGATTGAGATCACGTCATCTAAATACTTCAGGTGGAAGCTAAGGATGTTAGATGATGACACAAGTTCATGGAGCCAGTGATGGAGCCAACAAAGCCTTGAGGCCTTTTCTTCCAAATCCAAGTCTTTGCCCACCCTGCTATGCTATGCTGCTTCTTGGCAGTTTAGTCAAGGGGCTGCCTGAAACAAATTACCTGCTGTTCTAGATTCAGCCAATCAATGCATCAACATGAGGAAGTTCATGAGCTTGGGAAGCTTACAATCTAGCAGAGCAGGTCAAAGGCATACATGTGCATTTCCATACTCTTCTAAGATAAAACTAACCTCAGAAAACAGAGAGACTTAGATACACTAGATTGATATATTTAACCCATTACCAACCTGCAAGATTTAGCAGGAGGAGAGGGGTGACAGTTTCGTGGGTATTGAGCAGATGGAAGAGGGACAAAAAGAGATCTCAGAGGCCAATTGTCTGGATAATCTTAGGTGGTGGATCCAGGACAGAGAACCTGTCTCCATAAAACCTAGAACCAGTGCTGGGTTCTCAGCAAGTACTCAGTTTAAAAGGTCTACACAGTAAGAGACAGAGTGAGGGAGGATGGGGGAAAGGGGAGTGTCACTTGGTTTTTTGCTCCTGGTCCCAACGCCCGATATTTAATGGAATACTGACTTTTCTGTAGTGACCTGTAAAACCTTCGTGCTCCCATCCCCTCCAACATAATACTCAGAGATCTATCTACCTCCTCTTGGAACTCATTCATGTAGTGACTTATCCCAATATCAAGCGATCCTGACAACTGCCATTCACTGGTGATTAGGAGTGGGACTGCTGTCCAGAACCCACAAGAGACCTGCAGCCTCAGGGACTGAACCACTCCTACCCTTGCTGCTGCACGGCAATGCCTATCTTACCAACATCCCCTTCTCTTTCCAGAAATTTAACCGACTATGGGCAAGTAAGGAGAGTAAGGGGACTCAGAGACCTTCTTCATTTAACTCGACTAACAGATTTTCAAGTCCAAACTTTGGTATTCTTACTTGCTCTGAAGCCCCAAAGTAGTAGTACCCAAAATATAGTAGAATACTATATTGCTGTGGAAAAGGAGAAAGGAAACTAACATTTGTGTTATGTTTATGACAATAAAAAACAGCAGTAATAACCTAACACTTACAAAAAAAAAAGTCGCTTAGTGCCAGGCTCTGGAATACCCTCTCTATAAGCCTATGGGATAGATTGTCCCCGTTTTATAAAGAAAATTGGCTCTCAGAGAGAGAGATTAAGTGCCTTGCCAAGGGTTACAGCAGAACCCTAAGTGCAGAAGCCAGCATTGAATTCAGGTCTTTCTGATTCCAAAGTTCCTTCCAGACACCAAACTGCCTCTATGTAGAGAAAGAGCTTTATTTTAACTGTAACAAAATAAAAATATCCCAGAAGAGTATCTGAGTGTGTGGGGGCTTGTGGAGGAGGGAAGCAGTTGGTTACAAATGGAGCATTCGAGTATCATTGTTATCACCACCACCACCATCTTAGGGAATACCTTGCATACTGTAAGGAACTTCTATGCTTTCTTCTTGTGTTCAATGAGAATCATGTTTCACTTTTGCTCCTAGGAGGCTCAGAGACAAATTTAAAGTTCCTCTTTAATAACTGTCTAGTACTCCACATACATATCAGGGTTCTTATTTTCTTCTCATCTTGACCCAAGATTGCTATTTCTATTTTATCTTGTTCTAATCACTTATTCATCATTTTTGTATTTATTTCTTATATGGATTCTCATGAGACTCCTCAAAACTTTAGTGGAATAAGATAAGGTATGAATGATATTAATTAAAACATAACTTACCTGGATAGAGCTTTCATCTGTAGCATCACACAGATTCTTTAGTCCTTTGAATTCTATTGCTAGCAAATCTGAAAAAAAGAAAAAAAATCAAGACACCATCTGGCTGTCTTTGGAAAGACAGAGGTAACTCAGGTCTTTGATCTGCTCTGCATATGGACTGGGAGAGGGAGAGAGGACCAAATCTCCCTGACACAGACAATCACTTGCTTTATTAAACAAGTGTCTTGTATTATACACAGAGAGTAGTGCATTATGTGGATGCACAAGAAAAGATTATGATGAAAAGTAGATACTGAGCATACTGAGTACTCTGGGTTTCGAAACATTAACGTCACAGCTGTTTCTAATAATTTTTCTCTAACTGCAAGCTTATATCCACAATATGTACTAATGTAACTGTAACTGCCCCAAAATGTGTTTCTTTTTTTTTTTAAAACGGAGTCTTCTTAGAAATAACTATGCAACTGAGAGCCCATAACCATCTTAGATCATTACCCCATACACAGGTTATGTTGCATTATATTTTGGTCTGCTATGACTCAAGATGGGGCAGTTTGAAACAGCTGACCTACTTAAAAACTTGTGAAATATGCCTTTCTAAACAGCAATAACAAAACAAAAGAGAACCTCATTAATGAGAGAAGTCAAGAAAGTTATTAGGTGGTGTGCTCTGGGCTTTTAAATGGCAATGGCAATGGGGGAGAAGTGCATTCCTAACCCATATCTGGGGCGATGGTAATGGTAACACGTCGTGGGAAGCTGACTGAGACATCTCTGCTGGCTGCCCCAGGGCTTGGGGAGATTTAAGTCCTCTGTTTGAGGGTTGCCTTATATAATTAAAACTCGGGTTTACCTGCACTCGAGTGCAAAGAAAACGTGTGTTACTGTTCCTTTCAGGTTCCTCCTTCTAATTACCTTTCATTTGCAATAGTCTCCTTCCATCCAGTAGATGCTTCCTTTTCCAGATGGTTTTATATTTTTGTGAAGGGTTGGGAGACTTCTTCCTTTAGAGCCTCCCCATGTAGGTCTGACGGAGTCAGAAGCCAATGCCTTCTCTGAGGCTGGTTCTCCTGCGCGACTCGGGGTCGCCTTCATCTCGCCCGCAGATCAGGACAACCTACACGACTTCCGTTTCAGCCTAAGTTGCGTCGGCCGGCGCCCAGCTCAAGCTCCCCCCTGGGGCTGCGGAGTCCACGGCTACTGCCCGCGGCGACGAGGTTGGGGGGGCGGTGGTCAGCTCGGAGCCGAGTACAGGGCGCGGGGCCGGGGCCGAGCCCGAGCCTGCCGGACAGGCTGGACGAGGCTGCTCCGCCTCGGGCCGGGGGCAGTGCGGCCGACGCTGCCGAGGGCGCCCTGTGCCCCCACCCGGCGCTCCGGCTGCGCCCACCCGCCCGAAGTATGGCCGGCTCCGCGGAGCCTAAACGCCCACGAGCCCCTCCCTGGAGGAGGTCGCAGGCCAGGGCCTGAATTACTTCAAAATTCTGGGCGGGCTGAAAACAGGCACACAGCGGGATAGTTGACAGTCTCTCTGCCAATCCCCCTCCCTCCCCACCGGAATATATTACCCCACCACCCAGCGGGCGAGCCCCGCAAGGATTATTATCCCAGTTGTAACATTGAGGAGGTTAAGGCTGGGACATGGTCAAGGTCACGAAACAAATACGTGCGGCATCGCGTCGGGAGCGCAGCTCGGTCTGCCGCCACCCCTCTGCCCGTCCCTGAGCGCTCTGGAGGGGCGGACCACCGGCCAGGGCGCAGGCCGAGGCCTGAGGTCGGGGTGGATTCGGGTTTACACCCGGCGGTCAGGAAGCGGTGGGCGGCGCGGCTGCGGAGGTCGGCGAGGGCCGGGGACCGCGGGGCGGAGCGCGAGAAGGGGCGTGCGTCGCAGAGCCTCCGAGCCACAAAGAGGCCCAGGCTCTCCCGGACGCGGCTGCAGGACCTCACCAGCGAGTGCGGTGGGCGCCCAACTCCCGGGCGCTGCCGCAGAAAAGCGTGGCCTGCGCTGCCCCAGAATTAAAGCTCCCCGCGGAAGGTGGGGGGTTTTAGGTTTTTCACTCTCTTTGCTCTGTAGCCGAGTTTTTAAACAGAATTCTTAATTCAAATATTAGACAAGAATAGCCTTCTCTCCCCCACTCCATTCCCTCCTCGGCTCTACTGCGGTAACCCAGATTGATAGCCTGAGAAGAATCCACATACGCGCGCTCAGGGGCGCGCGCACACGCACACAGGCCACATTCGTTAACCCTGGGGGTCCTCCTCGCCTCCAAGGCTGCCCCGGTACGGTGGTGCGGCTTTAACGGTCCGGGGAGGTTTTTGAGGGATTTGATGATCTTTATTATTCGTTCGCTCGCAGGAGCCAGACGCCGCGCCAGGCGGTGGCCGAGGCCGCGCACCCTTCTCGCTAGCAAGGGGAGGTGCAGGGGGGCCGCGGTCGCCCACAGTAATCAATAACTCCCAGCGGCCACTGAACAGCGGGGGCCTTTTCAGGGCAGACGCCCCAAGAAATGATCTATTTATTGTTCGCACTACTGTGCACTTAGCACCGAGAGGGTTGTTCTTTGCACTTACAACAGAAACCCGCGGCTCCGCGGCCCGAATTCACTTTGGCCGCTGAGCGCGAATCGGCCCGTAGCCCGGCGTCGCCGCCACCCGCAGCGCGAGGTCTGGCTTCACCGTTCCAACAGGTGGCGAGGGCTGGCGGCGCCTGGTCTGGGCGCCCCTTGCCTTGCCTGACCAGCAGGTCCCGGGGCGCCGTGGCCTGCCACCTCGCTCCGAGGAGGAGGGCGCGGGCTGGGCGGGAGTGGGGTTCCGGAATAGGGCGTGTGCACTGGGAAGTGAATGCGCAGGCGGGCTCCGGACACTCCGAGCAAGTAGAGCAACTACGGCGCCGCGGCGGAGAGCTTCCCAGGGAGCCACCCTTGATTTCCCGTAAAAAGAGTTGAATTGTTAAGCTAAGACGAATATGCCTTTCAAGTGACTTGAGCAGAGAAACTCCTCCGGGATCCAGACACAGTCGAGGTTGTTACTCCCTGATCATCACCCCTCCCCCCGACACACACACCCCATGCCAAGTTTGCCTCCCTTAGTCCTCTTTGATTTTACACACACACACACACACACACACACACACACACACACACACACCCCACACTGGTGAATTAGGGGGGTCGCTGAGGCGTAGTCATGCCTTTCTCCGCCAGTGTGTCCCTTCTGGGATGACTCTGAACCCGGGACCGAGTCCTGTCCCCACTCGGATCCCCGCGGCCAAGCGCACTCACTCCGGCCAGGCGAGCCCAGCGGCTGCTGGAAGTCGCTGCGGCGTGCTGCGGCGCACCGCTCCGAGCGCGCTGCTTCCCGAAGCCGCCCGCGATGCTGATTTATGCCCCAGCGGCTCGCGAAAACCCCAACGCTTTGGCTGGGTTAATTTTTGTCAATTGTTCTTCATCATACTGAGATAGTTTGCAGCTCGAGGCGGGTCTTATTTATCACCCTGCACATTTGAAATACAGTCAGACATAAAAATAACTGACTCTGGGACTCTGGCGCAATATTGGAGCCGTCGGGGAATAATTTGGCTAACTGACTTGGACGTTTCACCTTCTAAACAGAAATGCAACTCTCAAACTGTAAATCAGATTGTCTTCGGCAAAGGGGCGGGGGGAAGCACCAAATCCAGAAGGAAACGCAAACAAAATGAAAGAAAACGCAGAAATTGACCAAAGCAAAATGAGCTTTAGAAACCCAGACTGGATTTTAATTTTAAGCGTGGAAGCTCATCGGGAATGTGAATTCCTAAATGTTTTACCAGCCGGATCCGTCCCAGAAATTCTAGGGTGCCCCGGAAACTGAAATGATTTATTTCTTTTTACCGTTATTGCTGTTTTTGTTACTAAACAATAATGACTTATAAATGCTGTTTTCGGGGTCTCCTTGAAGAGGTCTAATTATAAATGTTAACGAGAGGGGTCAGAACAGTTTGGGAAGGACTGGGTGAGAGCTCGGAAGTGACCTAACACTTGGAAAAAAAAGGAAATTAGAAATTACCCTGGCACTCTCTTTGTTCACAAAGTTCTGTGAATAGATAGAAAAGAATCTGATATTCTTTTCTGCGTCTCAGAGATTCCTTTCCCCCGCCTATGTGGAAGCCCCCAATAATGAAAGCTCAATTTCTTACCGCCCCACTTAGACCAAGTAGTTTAAAGCCTAGCCATGACTAGCCTTCGGTAAGGCAGGAACTGGAAAAGAAGAGAAAATCCATGCAGGCGACCACTCAACAGTTGATCGTAAAAGGAAACTCAAAACACAACCATATAAAACTTATGCCGGGGAAGGGTGCATCTGCTATTATTCTGCATTATTTCTATCCCCAAGTAAATTTCATTCTAGCACAACGAAGGGGAGATCAGCCTCCTGCTTTCACAGCGGAAATCTGAGGACGGTTTTCTTGACCTGAACCCACAGGGACCTTACCTGTAGGCACTTGCCCCACTTTTAGGGTATTTAAACAAGTATATATTTGTTTAAACTCCTTTTTTGACCAAGTCCTTGTACATAACTTGCTTCTTATATTTCTCCAAATAAACTTGAACAAGAGAGCTGTGACTTTTAAAACCCACGAACTAAAATTAAATTTAAAGATACCACAGGGGGCTTCAGGTAGAAAATTGGAAGGATTATTTTAAAATACCTTTGAAGCTTAAGGGATGATACTTTGGTAGTTGATAATACTTGGTATCTATTGATAATACTGAATATATAATATTATGCTTGCAATCAAAGTATGTAGTTTCAAAGGTGTTAAATGAAATAAAATTTAATCTTTTGATGGGAAAAAGATCAGCAAGTAGTTGGGCATTTTTTTTTTCATTCTTAAGAGTAAAGTGAACTGCTGCGTTTTTGACATTTGTGATCCAATTCTTAATCTGGTGGTTTTTATATCGGCCCCAACCTGGATTTCCCCAAGTTGACATCTCTGCTTCTTCGAAGAGGGATCTCAATAAATTCAGAATGCTATGCTGATGGGCAGTACCCCTGTTGTGAGTCATCCTTTGCCAATAGAGGGTCTGATGTCCTTTTCAGTATAACCAGCTGGGAAATTAAAAGAAATGTGTTTGCTTCTCCACATGTTTATTTTTTTGTTTTTCCCTTTATTTCTAACACATCAAGATGAGTTCTTTCTCTTAGAATCCCAAACCACAAATATCTCCAAAAACGTATATTTCAAAAATTAAATCTACATATGTAATACATACTGTGAACCCTATAAAATGCGTTTACAATGCTGACTTAAAGAAAGAAATTTATAACTTTCATATGTACCTTCCTTGTGCAATAGGCAACTGCCATATGTTTCCGACTTCTATAATTCAGTTTTTCCTGGACATCTGTAGCAGGTAGTGAGTGCTTCTTAAAGTACATTTTATGTAATATGAGAAGGAACCTGCACCAAAGACTAAAGGTTAACATAAAAAAGCAGAAGTCTTTCTAGAAATGCTAGTTATTCTAAATTTACATCACCTATTACGAATGGCCTGAGTTGGGTTTTTTCCCTCCCTCTTTCTTCATGAGGCTGGATTTGGAAATGCAATATTGTATATGCCAAGGATTCTTTACAAGCAACATTTCCAAAACATTGAAATGTTTGGGTAGAGTTCCTCTTGTTATTACTGTTCTTTAGGCTTTTGCTTGAAGATTCTCATTTGGCTCTTCCTGAAAACCCGGGTTGGAAATACATTACAGTAAGATTATTTTATTTAAGACAAAGTTTAATGTTTTTGTATTTCCCTTCATATTTTTAAAGGGAAAAGAACTCTAAGATCTTCATTTTTCATTGATCTCAATTGTTCCTGATATACTTCTTAAAGGATGGAAGAGTTCACACAATTAAAAGTGAAAAGAAAACAAAACCAAAAGTCATGCAGAAATGTCATAGTTTGTTGTCAATTTTTTTGCTCACGTGTTTAAATGCAGGGTTCATTCCCACTGCTAATACTATTTTTCAATTGCCCGCTTCTTTTTGTGCAATTCTTGTGCTAACTTTAAATTACTGTTAAAAATCTTTTCATTCAGCTGAAACTGAAATGTCTCATCCGTCAGTACAAAAAGAATAAATCCCAGTCACATTCTTCATTGTTTACACTTGCAGCAGATTATATAAATGTGCACAAAATTTCCACTGTTCAAGAACTTTGGTATCTACAGTTGTGAAAAATGAGAACAGGGCTCAATTAACAGCCCATTAGAGAATGTAATAATTTTTATAAAAAGCTAAAAACCATAGCAAGTAATTCTTAAGTGGAGCCTAGTTAGGGACGCTTATTTCCATTTTCAATTCATTTTAGTAAAGCAGCAGGTTCAAGATAATCTTTGTTTATAGGGAAATAGTATTAAATATTTAATTCAAAGAACATGAAGGTAGATATTTTTAAAATCAACTTAAACATAATTTTCCATAGCATAAACTACTAAAATGCCCATTACCTATTTAGAGGATATAATTTAATTTCCCGATTCATTGTCTCAGTTTGATTTATATCCAAATCAACCTGTTGCAATGTTGGTATCAGCAAGGTCCAACTACCCATCCTTGGGTATTTATTTACATCTGGATGTTAATTCCATTACTTCCTTCAAGCCATCTTATGTTTGAATCAGGTTTTAGTGATAGAGAACGTGTGTCCTTCTTGGACATTTTTGTTACTAACCCCTAACTGTAGGGCTGTGGGAGGAGTGTGGGTCACTGAATGAGGAAATGAAGCAGAGATTTTTTTCAGCACAGGGTGAAAAATAATTGCAGTATAGTCTGGAGGCAGAGCAGATACTGCTGGAAATTGGACATGAATGGGGAAGCTCATTAGCCCAGCAGAGTGCGTTTTGTTCTGGACACCTCACAACCCCTTCTTTCACTTCTTTTCCCTTCTCCAAGCTGGAGAACTTGGAGGTGGGAGGAATGGAGGAATGAAGACCAGCTTAACCTCAGAGCACACTTTCCTTTGGCTTTACCAAAACCTTGCACCTCCTCTAAGCCCCAGAGAGAAATGAGCCTTGATTTAAAAACCAACACTACTGGAGAATCTCTCTGGGTCCCCTGGAGCCTCGAAGGGCTCTTCCGTAGGCAGCTGGAGTGCTTTTGTAGAAGGACTCAGTCTCGAAAAATCAGAACTGTGGAACAGACTGGTTGTTGAAGAGAAGAATGGTAAACAGGCGCCAACCCGTGCGAAGATGCTGTGTGTGCTATTTGCGACAGAAGGGAGCAGGGAGGAATTGCGGTTCTCCGCGGGGCCTGCGTTTGCTGCTTGAGCCCGAGACTCCGCAGAGAAGCCCGCGAGAGCGCAGCCAGACAGACCGTGGCTGGCTGCATTTATTCCTGTAGACTTTGTAATCTTGCAGATTATAATTTATTATTTTTATTGACCCAAATCAGAGGGAGAGGGAAGAAGAAGAGTATGTACAAGGAGAAGGAAGGGAATGGGAAAGGGTAAGGAAAGGAATGGAGAAGAGTGCGAGCCCTAGCCCACGTGCGGCGCGGTCCTGTGACTCTGGGCGGCTTCTGGCATCCCTGGCCCCCAATTACGTTATGGCTCCTTCCCAGATCAAGTTACAAAGTAACACAGCCAAATAAGTATCCCACTTGGGGCTTGGATTGGGCCTTCCTTCACCCTGACTCTCCCATCTATTACTCTGTTTCTTGCTAGGCTAGTATTTTAGCGAATAATAAAATGTCTTTCTATGCATGGAACGAAGTCCAGATCCTGCGTGTTTGGAAATTCGGAGACTACCTGGAGCACCTCGAGTTCAGGGGGCAAAAACAGACCCTCCTGTATGCCAGGGTAAACCGCCCTGTGTCAGATTGTTAGTATGGGAAATCAAACATGAGTTTGGAAATTTACAGCGATTGTCAAGTGTTAAAGAAAAACAGAAACAAAAAAGAAAAAAAGAGTCTATTTAGAGAGTGAAATCCTGGCACATAGGACTTTAAAATTTGGAATTAAAAATAAACAATTGTTTATAAATAAAATACAAAAATAAAAAACAAAATACAAAAATATAAACAATAGTAACTTAGGTAAGAAGAAACAGCAAGCTATATCTAAACATAGATAGATAGATAAGAGTCTACGATGAAAGCACAGCAGGAGCCGACAGAAAGAATAAGCTTCAAAAAAGAATCTTTCCAATGATCCAATTTTAAACTGCAAAAGAAAGAAGAGAAAGAAAAGAGAGACAAGAAAGAAACAGGAAGAACCAGATATGCTTTTTAATCCTCCCTCCCCGCTTACTCCCCCCCCCCCCAGTTAATTTTGCTATCTGTTTGGATACAGATCCCACTAGGTACCATTCTCCCAGACCTGGATATGCAAGGCTCTTATGCCCTTTCCCCCCTCTCCAAGTCTCTGCGACAGACCCACTCTGATACTGTTCTTCCCTGGGTGGCTTTTATTTGAAATAGA